AGCACCCCGTTTGGGAAAATTCCAAATCTAGTTAAGTCATTTTTTCTTAAAATAAGTGACTTTGATCTTGGATTGAGGAGGTAAAATAGACATTTTGCCAATGGAAAAAGACAATTTACATTTAAAATAAGAAAACACAACAGCATTGTCTTATTTCAAGTGAATATTATCTAATTATTTTATTTTAAGTGTGAAAAAACTAATTCCGTTGGCAAACTATCTAATTTACCTAATCAAATCAAGGGTAAATACACTTAAATTAAGAAACTTTTACTTATTTCTAGATCGTTTTTCCAGTGTAGGGATGGAAAATGGATGGATTGAACGTGAAAATCAAGTCAAGTGCAAAACACTGAAGTGAAAGGTTAATAAAAACACAGTAGAAACCTGGACGGTGCAACATGCTGCTCTTTAGAGCCACCTTTTACAGTTAAGGTCAGCTTAAGCTTAACCTGTTTCTATTCTTTATAAGTTTAGTCAGATTTGGATAGGAGAATCAGTTAATATCAGCTTCCGCTTTTTGTTACAGATTCTCAAATTAATTCAAGTTGGTCTGTGCCAAATATCCGTCTTTTGGGATATGGGAACCATAAAACATGTTTAGCAATCCCACTTTCACTTAACTTTAAGAAAAAATATATATACCGGTATATGTTTTTGAGTCTCCTGGTTAGTTTTTAAAAATGTTTTTAGAAAAACAGAGCAAAAACTATTGATTTAAATCTGGACTTTGACTAGGACATTAAAAAAAACAACTTTCTTTGGTCTAACTGGTATTGTCCAGAGTTTCTGCAAATATGGCCGACATCGTCCAGATTTAAAATACAACAATTACATTATATTTTGATGAAACAAAGAAAGCAGAGGACAAGTTTCCTTGTTCATTGTAGATCTTAAGCTCATCTTATTTCTGCACAAACATCATATTTATTAAGTTTATCTTATTAAATAGAATCTGAAGGTGAGCATCTTTGCTCTGCTACTTTCCAATCTTCCTCCCTGCACAAATAAACAAACAATATATCTTTGCGAAGTCGATGGATATTTATTTATTTAGTTTTTCAGTGGAACTCGTGTTGATCTGTACAATGATTGGATATAATATAACCTGCAAACCTTTATGCATTTTGCAGCCAAGTTTAATAAATGAGTGCAACTAAACCCAGACGCTGGTGAGAGTCGCTGAAAGTTTTTGGTGTCGTTCACAATCAAACTAAGATAAAAGAACAGATAATTATGCTTAAAGATTTAATGTTACAGTTTAAGAGACATTTTAGAAATAACTGTGGGTGTCTGTCATCTCTACAGCTCCTTCAGAGGTTCCAGTAAATCTCTTCTTTCAGATTAGATTCAGGGTCATTTATTATTTTAAATATTCCAATGTAGAATATATTTCTGTTTCTGGATATTGGGTCAAACGGATTTCCTTGAGATGTTCATAGCTCAGAACTTCCTCGTATTATAAATATTTAATAGTTAGCTGACTTAGGAGCAAAATAGGTAACACTTAATGAAATATTATGGATAGATAGCTATTTAATTCCTTTTTTCCAAGGAAATTAAAGATATAAACACATTTATTTTCCCCTTGCAATTACTGTAGCCATTCAAAATTACTCCACTTTCCTTGGCTGGTCCCCTTCAATTCCTTTTTAAACATCAATCTTTGTACTAAAATATTCTTTCTGTCATTTGTGGACATTATGATCTAAAGAGAAGCGCCATCTCCTGGTCAGACCCTGTAATTCATTGAAAGAGTGGAGTCAGAGTAAAAAAATACGTTTGGTTCATGGAGGGGATTTTGCTGGGAGTTGTAGGGTAGTGGGCTGCCATTCAGCTGCCATTCAGCTGCCGTTTAACTGGGAAGAGCCATTTTGAATGGCTACTAGCGTATGTGTCAACTGTGCACAACAGTATGTGAAAAACTCTGCTTCAGAATCCTACCAGATATAAATGTGAGGATTCTCCGCTGAAAGGCGGCAACAAGGAGGAAATGGCGGATGAAGGCAAGAAGGAACTTCCAGAGCTGGAGAAGGTGGCAGCGCTGCGGTAGTCTCCAAAGGTTTCTGGGTAATAGCTGTCAATGAGGGAGGAGTAGCTGCTCATAGTGGACGGTTGTGTGGAGGAGTAGACGTCAGGAGGGAACTGCTTGCTGGATGCACAAAAGTCTGAGTCGGATAAGAAGGGTCTCCTCATGCTATAGTAGCTGGGCAGCATGTGTGACCCTGTTTGGGGAGAAGAAAGGGTTCATCAGAAAAACATAAATGCTGGAATCTGCAGAGGATCTGAGCTTGCAGAGACGTACCTGGCATCTGGACAAATGAAGGCGGAGTAGTTGATCCTCCCTGTGAAGAAGAAATAGAGCTTTATGTTAGAAGGCATTAAATTTGACCTGTGCCTGAACATGTAAAGATTTAGATAAAAGGATTTCCTGAAATTATTCGTGTAGATTTTAGTATATAGAAAATGTTTGCACAATCCATCCTACTTTCTGTTGAACACACAGTCTTCACGGCTTCGACTATCAGTTTAATATTTTTAAACCCCCCACAGCAGATAATCAACCTGGGTCTCTCTCTTTTTTTTTCTCTAAGGCCAGCTCAAAGTGTTTCTTTAAAGTCTTATATAATTATTTCAGTAATCCAAACATAGAGCTGCTCCGTCTCAGTTATGACAGTACTGGCCTACGTTTGAACTCTATTTTTTTATTATTTGTGTTTTTCCTCCCTCTCCATTTTTTCTTCTTATCTGCAAAACAAATGGCCTCTCGGGGACAATAAGGTGTCAGCCTCCTCCTGTCAGTGAAAAGAAAAACTGATAAAACACAAGCAGAGCGCTGAAAATCCTGAAGCAGTTGATGCAGCACTCAGACATTGTTAGTGCAGGCAAGTGAAGATTCGCTACATTTAATGCAACATAAATTATATCATATGTTTTAATAAAATAAAATAGTAAATGGTACTTTATTGATCTCCGATGGAGAATTTAACTCTCTGCATTTAACCCATCGCCGTTGGGGAATGCTGCGTAGCGCCTGGGGAGGATTTGCAGGGTTAAGAGTCTTGCTCAGAGACACAGAGTGGCAGTTTGTGGGGGTGGGTTTTAATCCCACAACCTCAGGATTCCAAGCCCTATGCCCTGACCACTAGGCCGCCACCCCCACAGTTTATGAGGTAATGTCCAAATGTTGAGACCTAGCATCTGCTTCCTCTGTCTGTTCATAGCTTGTTTAACAAAGCCTGGATTTAGTCAGTTAAAGTTAGCATGTCCAAAGCAACAGCTAGCATAACCCATGGAAGTAATCTTTTTTTACAGGGGGGACATGTCCCCTGCACTTTTTCAAACGCCCGTTTTGGTTCCCTATTCGTTTTATTGTCCAAAAACAACGTTACGCTACAGTACACAGACATTCGTCGAGCACTAGGACCATGCTGAAAGCCGCTTCCCTGACTTTAGACCGTCCACAAGCTCCTGATTGGCCCAGCGCTTTTTTTTCTTGCATGATTGGCTGTCACTGCTGTCATTCCTGAGAAGCTCACTGATGCGCCACTGAATCGGGTCTGTGATTGGACGCCCCACCCCACACACACACATATACATACATGGTGTGACCATATCGAGGAGAAAAGTCTTAATAACTTTATGTGTGTGTGGCTCTGAACTAAGGCCATGCTGATCCACTAAAGGTTTGTGTTCAAGAAAAATATGCAAACTTGATAGCACGCCCCAAGCTGCTCTACTAAACAGGCACTACCAAAATAGTGTCTGTAATATCAGGAACATTTCAGCTGCACTCTATTTGGGAGGATAAGCAAATGATATTACTAACCTCCTGTAATTTAATTTTAAAACCTAATTTGATTGCTGCAGCAGGTTTTCCATCTATATTCAGAAGGGAAGGTGGAAAATCACACCCCAGAACGAGGCATAGGTACAATGATAGGATAGAGAGAATCTTCTCTGCCTTAGGCCCCGTCCACACGAGGTCGAACCCTGGCCTAAACGCACAAATTTTTCACCAAACCAGCCTCTCATCCATAGGAAGCCGGCGTTTCGGGGGTCTGTAAACAATCTTTTTTTTATTCAGCCTTCAGAGTGGGAAGATTTTGAAACGCCGTTTTCGCGTTTCCATCTTTACGCTCTAACCGCATTCTTTTTTTGCACGCATGCGTCATAGTGTCGCCTCTAAACACGCATGCGCGACCAGTATCACAACAACAATGGCGCCGTACTGTGTTGAATGGTTGCTGCTCATGCTACTCACCCTGCTGTCGGGCTTACAACAGAATCTTCTTCTTCCGGAATATCTCCAGGAAGAACGGAGCAATATCGACCACATAGTTCAGCACCTGAATTTGACTGAACCACCAAAATGGACCCGCAGGGCAACCATGTATAAATATTAGTGCGCATGCCCAACATTTCGTCGCCTATTTTTGCTTTGGCACCACAGCGCCGCTTACAGGCCTGGCATACATTTTGCAGCGTTTTCATGCATTCGTGTGGACGATCACATTTATTTTACGTCTCCATCTTTACGACAAACGTTCTGGAAAATATTAGCGTTTCATGTTCGTTTTGACTTCGTGTGGACGGGGCCTCAGTCATTAAACTCAGACTGTCGTTAAAATGGAAGAGACCTGTCATGGTAAAGTATTAAAGCAATAATTTGGGGGTTTGCCCAAGTGGTCAACGTGTTTTTTTGTGGATTTGGAGAAGTTATTGGACCGTGTCCCTCCTGGTGCCCTGTGGGGGGCGCTCCAGGAGTATGGAGTCGGGGTTCCTTTACTAGGGGTCATCTGGTCCCTGTACAAGCGGAGTAGGAGTTTGGTCTGTATTTCTGGGGTTAAGTTGGAACCGTTGGACTCTGAGGGCCCTGTCACACCTATTTAGAAAGTCTTGGAATCTCCTAAAACGCGATGCTGAACTTTCTATGTATTTTATACATAGAGTATTCATAACGACTCCAGAACTTTTGTCGAATGACAGCCTAACTTATGCATAACACACGGCAGCATAATGTCCATGAAATGATGCACGATCATCATTCCATGAGCGTTGCGCAGTACGCAGTTTGAGTTATTGCTCAATATCGCCCTCGGAAGCAATGACGCGCCTGAGGGGAAATCCAGCACTGGGACTTGATCAGCAGCCGATACCGCACCGTAACGTCACTAACCAGTAGGTGGCAGTAGTGTTCTTTGACAAACATGGATGCCTCCACTAAAGCACATTCAAATGAAAATTACTCTTAATTAAAAACATTTATTATGTATTGAACAGTATGTAAAAATTTCATTTTTAAAGTACTTTCAGAAGTTTGAATTCTGAATATGATCAAACTTTTCCTTTAAACCATCTCTTATTGTTATTTGCAAGGCCATTGCACAATTTTATAAGGCGGTGGCTGTTATATGTATGGAGGATAAAGAGTGGCAAAATTGAATGAATAAATACAGCGATAAACAATTAATTAAATGTGTAATTCATTAAATAGATAAGGAATTAAATATATAAATGTGTCATTAATTTAATAAAATACGTCTTCATTTCATTAAAAAAATATATATAATTATTTCCGTTTAGCATTTAATTATTTCATGGTCCTGCGTCGCAGTGCATCGAAACCATTAAAAGAATCTGTCAAACTCACCCATCAAAGTTAGGGGGCGGGGTTAACGCGAATCGAGTCTCTGTAATCGATTTGCTTTGCCTTAATGTGCAGGGTGACCAATCAGGTGTTAGATAACCGCCCCCTAACTTTAATTAATTATTGAGACATTTAATTATTTATTTAATGCTGTATTTATTTATTTAATTTTGGCACTTTTTATCCTCCATAGTTATGGGGCCTGTCATCGACCACCACTGCAGCTTGACTGATATCTTTATTAAGCTTCTGTATTTTGCTTTTAACAATAAACATCCACAGTTTGCAGACAGAACAACTGGTTGGGCTATATACATAGTTTGCACAACAGTGTGTCGTACACAGAACCTGTTCATAGCTCCGCTGAAATTAAAAAACAACAATGGTTGCATATTGTTAGCTTAAGGGTGTAGAAACAAAGCTGATAAAACAGTAAGATGAACTTTTCTTTTTCAAAGTACAACAAAACACCTCATTCATGCATGTAAAGGCCCACATTTCAGATTTTACTCTCATCAAAACGCTCATGATAATTCTAATTTCATTTTCAGACAATAAATAAAGACCAAATACGCACAAAAGACTGATATTAGAGATACCAGTGCATTTCAGTTAACAGCTGTTAACTGATTAGGATGCCATCAACATAAAATATTGAACTAGAAATTTACAGACTACTTTCATGACATAATAATTATGAAATATATTTTAATAAAGATATCAAATAGAAAAACTTCATTCTGTTTCTAGAAGCTACCATCATATTTAATATAAAATAATGAATATGTCCTTCAATAGGTTTTCTTTTTTAGATTAAAAGAGCCTTGTGGAAAATTAGAACATTAAAGCAGGTTTTAAACCTCATTAAGCTCCACTTTATTTATAAGATATTTAGGTGTTGATGAAAAATAATTATAATGACCAAATAAGACCGCAAAACATCTGAGCTTTGAATACTTTTTTTTACATTTGTAAATGTTTCCAATTGGTTTTCTTATTTTTTGAGATTTTAATGAGATATGTTTCACTTTCTGAAAGTAAATGACTTAAAAAATAAAAATAATGTTTATATCTATGAAGCATCAAACTCACAATAATATTTTAAAATAATCAACAGTTTAATCAAACATCTACATTTTATATTTTCAAATACATCGATCTAAACTGCTACATGTTTTCCTGTTTGTTTCACAATGATACGTTTCATTCTGCCCTGTTAAAGATATTTTTCTGATGTAATTGGGAAGTTTAGTTATATCATGTTTTCTACAGTGACACCTTGTGTTTAGTAAAATAAATGCAATCAGTAGTAATCTGTTTTTATCTGTTGATTTTTACACAAACTCTGACCTAAATCTGTGTTTTTTAAAAGATCCTCCCTTAGTTGCAAAACCTAAATCTGTTTGTCAGAGAAGATGAACAAAAACACATCAGGCTAATCTGGAAAACCAACTGAATGTGAGACGGCTGGGAAAAGGCCAAAGCTTGCAGAGTGTCGAGGAGGAAAGGGCAGAAACGGGACACTGCAGAGAGGTGAAACATGGATGATCGAATGTTTTAGAGGAAAGTTTGCAGCCTGGTGAAAAGGAGAGAAAAGCCGCCTCAGCTAAAGCAGACTAAAGCAATAAAGACAAGGTTGGGAGGAGGAGCAACGAGCAACGAGCAACGCAAGGGAAGAAATGCAAGGATATTGTA